ACAGCCTAAATCACCTTTAAGGAGCCAAGGCAAGTGCCAGCCACCATTTGAAATGCGCAATACATGATTGATAGTGGGGGGGGGGGTCATGTTATACCCTCCCAACCATCTGGGCTTGTGCAAAAGTCAAACAACACTACAACAAGCCAAAGGTTGTTGTTTAACCCTCATGTAACTTTTGATGGCTGGATTCAGATGAGACAATTCTTGTGATATGCTGGTCTCTTCCTTTCCTTTCAAGCAGATTAGGACAAAAGGCTTTTTTTACTTAAGTATTTATTATGTTAAAGCTGACCAGCTAGGCTGGCTTTGTAATACAAAAGAAAAGTAGAGTGGTACCTTGGCTCACAAACTTAATCCGTTCCACGACTCTGATTGTGACCCAAATTGGTTGTGACCCAAGTCAAATTTCCCCATAAGATTCAATGTAAATATGGTTAATCTGTTAAAGTGACAAAGAACAACAAAGTAACAAAGTACTGTACAGTACAGTAGAGTACAGTAAAGTACTGTACAGTACAGTAGAGTACAGTAACCTAGGTGGTGGGGGGAGGTTATTGTTTTGAGGGAGAGTCCCCCTTCATAAGGACATTGGGGAGATCTCTTTCAGGGGTTTCCTCTCTTCTTTTTCTCTTAGCTGCAGGGTCAATTTGGTGAAAAATCTGTCTATAGTCTCTTGTTTTTTCCTGCACTGCGTAATCCTTCAGAAATGAGAGACCACATTATCGTTCATCAGATTCAACTCTCTGTTCATTACAGTTATGTTGGGGTGGTGCTTCTCAAATCCTGGCATGGGCGTGCTCCTGCAGGAAAGATGGGTGCAATCGTGGCCATCTCCCCCCTCCCCCACCACCCAACCAGCACAATCGCGGCCATCTCCCCACCCTCTGAGTAGGGAGATGGCCATGATCACAGTTGCATTTGTGCAGGGAAGACGTGCGTGATCACGGGCGCGCTCTTGCAGGAAAGATGGGCGCAGCACAGCCGTGATCACTCTGGGGGGTGGGGCGATGATGGTGATCTTGGTCGCCACCCAATGCGGAGTTCATGACCCAAGTCAAAATGTTCATGAAATTTTTGTTTGCAACCCGATTTGGTTGTGAACCAATGTGTTTGTGAGCCAAAGTACCACTGTACTGCAGAAGTCAGTAACCATAGACACAAGCAAAGGTAGAATACTGGCCATTAGGAAAATGCAGCCTAATGATATAAAGTGGGTTCCAAAATAAATACCTGTGAGCAGAGCACTTCGCTTTTCCCTTCCCAGCAAATCAAGGCAAAAGGCTTCCAACTCAGTCTTTTATAGGCAGGCCAGTAATACAGAATAAGTAATAAAAGTCATTAATAAGAAGGATCCATCCAATTAAGGTTCTCTCTGTGAAGTTCTTGCCCATACCAGAATCTGATTCCCAAGTGAATTTCCCTTGCCCTCCAAATGAAGCTGGCAGCACTCTCAGGAAAGTTCACGCTACTTGTGGGCCAAATGACAGGAGTGGCAGACATAACTGGATTGGTCCACTTGTTTGACTTGTGATTGAACTACTGGGCTGATAGTTATAGCCTTCCACCTCTGACACCCCCCCCCCCCATTGCACAGTGTTTCCTCTAAAGCAGAGTTGATCGGGTTCTCACCAGCTACTTGGCGTATCTCACAGCTTGTTCACCTTGGCATTTCAACTTAGCATTCTGACTCTGTCTCTTCTTCTAGTTCAGATTCAGAGTTTGAATCTTGGAATGTTGTATTTTGGGAGAAGTGGGCCCAGTCCCTACAATGTCTCTTCCCACTTCCAAACTAAAAGGAGTTTTACTCCATCTTCATAGTGGTTCTTGCTGACTCAGTCATTGAGTGTTTCTTGACATTTATCATTTGCTCTGCCCATTTTACCTGATGCTGTAGAACTGGATTGATGATGCTTAACTCACCCCCACATATTTCTGAACACTCCCAAGTTTCCCATGGAACTTGACATGGTCTGGTTCTCCTCAGTTGCCAGTCTCATGTCTTGGTCAGTTGCCCTTGACATTGCAGCGAAGTATTCCAGTCCCGCCTCTTCATCTAATCCTAAATCTGAGGCAACAACTGATGAAGGCTGTATTATGTGAGCAGAGGGTCCAATCCCTACAAATCGCTAGTCAGGAGCTGCATATGCCAAAGGAGTCCCATAGGCATCATGTGTTAAATAACCCATCATCATACAAACCAGGTCAGTGCTGACAATATTGAGTTACATAGACCAACAGTCTGACTCCATATGAGGCAACTTCCTATGATTAGCAAACTGAGCCTGCTGGTCCTGGTGGGGTGTTAACATCCATACCAAGGAGAGGCTCAAGATTTCATGGGCTCTATGACAGCTATGGGACTGTTCCAACTTGACACTGGCACAGTGCCTGTGGTAGGGCGTATTCTGAATTTGCTTTTTTTTCAGCCAGGGATAAGTGATCTGAAAGCAGAGGACTTTGAATCAGTAACTTTGTCATGGTCAAATCACTGCCTACTCAGATTTAGGCCAATTGTGACATTTCTCCTCACAGGGGAGAGAGAATTATTAAGATGGACCATCTCTAGAAGCTGATGAATCCAGACAGTCTCCAGAGGGTGTGTGTGTTGCGGGGGACGGGGGGCAGGGGGATCAGCTAATATGGCTGGTGGTTCTGTCACATCCCTGGTCAATCACCAGAATGCAGAGAAAACCTGGGCTGTTGATACAATCGCTTTTGAGTACCTCCCTCTGTAGCAGGACTTGCATAGTCCGGAGAAGAGGGCAGGGAGCAAAACAGGAGATGGCTTGAGTACAGAGAAAGGAAAACTCTGGTGAATGCTGTAGAACTCTGATAAGTGCCTCCAGTCAAATATACCTGGAGGCACTGACATTGGAAAAGAAACAATATCTCATTGCCTCTGTTTAGTCCTCTTTTTGCCATCCAGTGGAGCTCTCTAGGGTTGGCCATGGCACACTATGTGCTGCCCCTGTGGACATCTTGGGACCATCTTAGGCCTGCTACAATACACTTTCTAGGCATTTCTAGGGGGAAAATATTGCATTTTCAGTGACTTAGATTTCAGTGGTATCACAGTTGAATCAGATGAGATATTCAGAGCACAGCCTAATCTAGTCTTCTTCATTGAGTTCCAGTTAATACTGCTTGAGGATATTGAAGAGATGCTTGGACAGATCCATACTGGAGCCTTGCCTCTCTTGGCTAATAAATGCTAGTAGGCAGGTAACAGCCAGCTGGACCAGGGCAGTAATTAATGCCTCTTTATGAGGGAGTGTGGTCCCATGCCACCTGAAACATGCAGAGATGAGACCACTCCTGAAGAAATCTTCTCCAGGCCCAAAAAATCTCATTAATTTTAGGCTAGTTCCAAGTAGCTCTTTTCTGAGCAAGGTTCTTGAGTGAGTGGAGGACAATCAGATTCAGATAGTCTTGGATGAGACTGATTAGAGCCATTTCTGAAAGCATTCAAGCAGGGTTTTGACACAGAAGCAGCTTGGAGATAGGAGAATGTGACCCTGTTGGTACTGGATCTCTCATCAGTTTTTGATACCATCAACCATGCTATCCTTCTGGGGAAGTTGGCTCAGGAAGTTGGTGCTTGAGGGGTATTGTTCAGCCTTTTAGACTCTCCGAGAAAACCAATTCTGAGAGTCTAAAAGGCTGAACAATACCCCTCAAGGTCAGTCTTGTCCTTTAACATCTAGATGAAGCTATTGAAACATCCAGAGTTTTTTTTAGTATGTTGCCATCAGTATGCTGATGACACACAGCTCCATTTTTCCTTTTCATCTTCAGTAGATGAGGCTGTGGATGTGGTAAACTGCCAACTAGCTGTGACAGTGGGCTAACAAACTGAAGCTCAATCCAGACAAGACTGAAATGCTGTTAGTAGGTGGTTCTTCTGACCAGATGCAGAGTATTCAGTCTGTTTTGGATGGGATTGCACTCCCCCTGAAGGAGCAGGTTCATAGCTTGGGGGTGTTTCTTGAGTCATTGCTGTCATTTGAGCTTTAGGTGGCTTCAGTGGCATGGAGTGTCTTCTACCAGTCTTGGCTGGTGGCTCAACTATGCTCCTGTTTGGACAAGGATAGCCTAGTTTCAGTAACCTGTGCTCTAGTAATCTTTAAACTAGATTCTTGCAGTGTTCTGTTATGTGAAGCTGTAGCTGAAGACTCTTCAGAAGCTGCAGCTTGTGCAAAATTTGGCAGCCATATTAATAATTGGAACCAGAAGTTCCAAACACGTAATGCCAATTCTGGCCTGTTTTGCATTGGCTGCTTGCTTATATGCTTCTAAGGCCAGTGCAAGGTATTGGTTTTTAACTATGAAGCTCTATAAGCCTTAGTACCACAAAACTTGACAAAATGCCTCTGACAACTATTCTCTACTTGGATGTTACAATTTGCCTCTGATTGCTGTGTCTGGGTGGATTGGCTCATGGCAACTAGAAGGGCCTCAGTAGTGGCCTCTCCAGCTAAAGAACAAGCTCCTGCTGAGGCCGCCTGATACCAACTATAATAGTGTTTCAGTGAAAGGTTAAGACTGTCTTCTATGATAGGATATTTAAGTAGCTTTAATATTATATTGGGGCATTATGTCAGCTGTTTAAATTAAGGTCTTGTAATTTAATTTGTGTTAGCTATTAAAATTTTAAAATTTATTTTAAATTTTGGCTTTTAAATTTTGTACTGTAATTTTGGTGATGCTTTATTTTTATCTGTACTCTATATTGTATTTTATGGGTTGCTGTAAACCTCCCAGAGTTTTTCCAGTATTGGGCAATACAGAAATAAAATTATTGCTGTTATTGATGATGATGAGCTCACATAACATATTTGGGCTGCTGAATTCAACTATTCAGTTAAACTATTCAGCAACTATTCTGCTGAATTCCCAGTATGGAGTAAATAGTATTGGGTACACACAGCTTTATTTAGAATAGGTGTAATTGTATAACAAGTGTGTTTCAAAAATTGCCCTTGTTTTCCTTCTTGTAGTATTGAAAAAGCTGGCAGAATTTGAACTTCCCTATGTGAGTCTTCAGAGTATGAAAGAATTACCTTGCAAGATTGGGATCAGAAAATGGTGAGCTGAAAGTTAAAGTAAATTTATAAAATGCATTAAAAGATAGTACTTCCAGGTTGGGGAGTATACGCCCAGTTCATCTGTGCTGAGCAGCAACATATGTATACTATTGTCAAATGGGATAGTAATACAGTCCATGTCTAGAGGATAGACTAATATATTTAGGACAATTTGGGTACAGTCCAGTTCTAGTCAAGGTCTTTTAATTGCAATGAATTAAAGGCTCATTTAAGGATGCACAGGCATTTTTTTTCTAGCACTTCAGGTGCATTCTTAATCTGTTTTGAGCAAATAGCCTCACAACTGGTGGCTCAATACAATCATCAGTAAAAGTTTCTCTGCATTTATTGTGCACTTGTCATTCTTCAGTCAGGAAAGTTTCCAGGTAGTTTTCACAGTGTCGTCATCCTCCAGGGCCTCTCCTGTGTTTTCTAGCCATTTTTGCAGCTTCTTTTAAAGTGAGGAAAGTCAGCTATTGAATTACAACTGAGAATACCTTATCTTGTTGCCTTTTCACTATACTGCAGCTATAGCCTAATACAATGTTATAGCTGGATAATGGAATATAGCCATTATATAAAGGTAAAGACAAACCCAAGGGCAAAAACAGACAAAGGGCACTTTCTTCCACAAAGAAAAAATAGAGAAGTTGTCTCAGTAAAACGGAGAATAAAACACCTCATGTAGAGGAGTCCTAAGTTGGCTTGGCAAATCAGCCTTAACCATCCCCACTATGTTTAAACTAAATTTAAGGAATATTTATAGGAGATAACTCCCAACATTTAAGAAACATATTTATTCCTTAATTTCAGCTTAAACACAACTTTTGGAGTTCCCTTCTTTGATAACAATCTTTCAGTTATATTGCTTTCTGCATCTATGTCCCTAGATCTGTGGTTTATGCTGCAATGTTTTATCTGCTCCCCCCCCCCCCATTTATTGGACAGGTACATGGATCCTTCTCTTGATAAAATGCTTATGGGTTGTAGAACTTCAGTGAATTTACTTTATATGCAGGTATGTTCTAAGACAAATGCTATTTTTCCTTTAGAAAGATTAGTATGAACTGAATCTGGTCTCTTAATCAGTTAGTTATGTTTTAAAGGTAGGTTTTTCATGAACAAGCACAACTTCTTGATTGTTTCCTGCTATCTACATTAAATATTTCAGTAAAGAGATACAGTGCATAATAAGTCTATTGGTTAAACTAGATAGGACAACAGCAGATCTGTGTTTATTAAACCAACCCAGATCTAACGCAATCATGTAGAACATGTGGCCAGTGGACTGCCTGCAGTGCTTAATAACCCCACTCGACTCAAGACTGTAAAACAAACAAGATGACATACAGAGTATTTTTACTCTTTTAGTGCTCCTTGGCCACTCAAAACACCATGTTTTTAAAAAAACTTCTTAAAAAACATGAAGTAAAAGCAACTTCCATAATTTCCAGTTAGCACAACAAATGACCATGCCAGCTCTCCTATAAATCTGAAATAGCACCTGGTTGGATATAAAAACCAGGAGAAGGAGGGGGCCAGCAAAACAAGTCCATTGATTAAGGACTCTTTAACATTCCCCATGGCTTACCTCCCTACACCCTCTTCATGCCTACCAGGCACTGCAATCCTAAAATACTAGAAATAAGTCTAAATGAGGAGAGCAGCTTCAGTGAATTAAACAGTGAATGGGGAGGGTTTAGCACTCCTCACCTATATATCGCCTTTTTCATATTAAAATCAGGGACATGAAGTTTCTGTGTGATAGTGCTGGATCTGGGTTTAAGCAATCAGATCTTCCCTAAGTAAGTCATATTTCAGACCCCACTTACTAGTTTTTGGTAGCTGTGTATTTATTCCAAGCACTGTCCAAAATGGGTTGGAAGAATGGGTAGAAGAAGCTTTTGGCTCAAGGGGACATTGTAGTGTTTAACTGCTGCAGTGAGTAAAAGTATTTAGTAGTATCTCACAATATTATTAATTCCTCTTTTTGAAGATGTATTTCGTATTGAGCTGTTGCCTGCCTTGAGAATATGTGGACAGGGTAGTTTACAAATACTAAAAGCACTTAATGGCTGTGCAAGCATATTGTTAATATGCTTCTTTGTTGGGTTGTAGTTGAACCATACACAAAAATAAATTGAAATTTGATTCTCACATCATGATGGTCAAAAAATTGAAATTTGCACATCATGATGGTTTTTATATAGCACCTCCACCCATGGCAGTCATTTCAACTTCCATAATGTAGTTGTACTAGCATCAGAACAGGTGTCTGCAACCTAGGGGTCATAGTAGGACTTCAGAGATACGAGCAGAGTCCAATTGCCATAACGACTATGAAGGAGTAATATTGACTCTGCTGTATCAGAGAACTACTAGCCTGACTGTTGTTCCCTGTGCAAGCATTGCTGTGCCTTTGTCAAAAGAACCTGATACCACAAGGAACAGCAGGGCTGGCAATTGGAGAAGCTCATTGGCTACTTGTATCTTGGTGGTACAGTTTTTGTTTGTGTGTTTTGCTTTACATAAAAGGTGGTACAGGAAATAGAGAAAAACTGGATCAAGCTTACTGATGAACGGATGCAGAAACTTCAAATGCTGCAAAAAGCACCAAACAAAATGAAGGTAACACAATTTTAAAATGATGACCCTACGTTTTTCTTTGGGTGTATACTATAGTGTAAAGAAATTATGGAAGGCATTTGCCTGTTAAGACAGGTTACATTCTTCAACTTTGCCTGGAAAAGATACCCTATATCCACACTCTTTCAAAAATGTTGACTATGGAAGTTACTAACAATGAATTAATAATTGTCAAAACTACCACTCCTAAATGTTCCATGTGTCATTTGAAAATTGCTTCTGCAATAAGAGATCAGAATTGAGACCATGGAGAGAGGGGCTTAACTCCTTTCTCTCATACTCCCCCTTTTTGTTTATGTATTTATTTTGATTTGTGCATTTTTCTACTGGAAATATATTCCTTCAAGTAGCACTCCTGTTGTGATATTTTCTTCATAGGGAGAATGTAGCCTATACCTGTAGAAGAGAGGCAGGAGAGATAGGCTAGTTCATCTTTACAACACTTTCTCTAGTGCTTGTATACTGAAAGGTGCAAAGCAAGAACACAGCTTGCATAACTTTTGCTGCAAGAATAGAGCTATTACTGCTTTTTAGACTTCTCCAGATTAAGTAGCTGGAACCTCTCATGCTAAAATTCAAAAACGTGGAAGTGTTCTTTCCAGTTATTCCTGTGTCTGAAGATACTGGGAAGGAGTGATTGATGTAAGTTCCATGCATAAAGAATTAAATAGTGCTCTTTCCATTCTCAATTCATTTGAGAGAAAAGAGATTATTTTCCCAAAACATTCTAAGGAGAAGAAATTTTGGAAAAGTTCTCATGGATCAGAGTCAGGGTTCCTATGTTTATCTTACTTATGGGATCACCAGAGAGTGTGTTTACTATTGTATCCTTATTTCTCCAGCAACATCCCCAACTTCTGGTACTTCAATTAAAGCCTAGGGAACATGACCTGAAGTAACTTCCCCGTGGGACTTTTTCAGATTAGGGACCATGGGCAGCCAGAAAAGCTGCAGAGCAAGGGAAGTACGTATGAGAGAGAATGAGAGAGAGACAGCAACTTTAGAAGTGGCAACAAAAAAGCAGAAATCCTTATGAGAAATTAAAGAAATTATGCTACAGGTGTTGCTAATGGGAAAGCCCCACTTCTCTGGGTGAATTTCTTCTGCTCCCGAAGAAATTTGTGGAGATGGTCTCCCAGTTCCCATGCCCACAGATAGGATGGAGAATTTCAAAGGGTTATTTGTGCACAGCTATAGACTTAACGATGCACACCGGAGTCACTTCTGAAATGTTGCCATACACATTTTTCTCAACCTATTACTCATTCCCACCTGGCATATTTGAGATTTACAATTTTAATGTGAGCTTTGGGAGAATTCCTGAATGGATTTTCAGAGTGGAATGTGTTCCTCAGTAACCTGGGGGTTTGGTCAGGTCTTCCAGTAGTTTGTGGTTTCCGAACACTCAGGGAGTTGCTAGCTCTCCCTCCATGATGTTGTATCTAGCTTACTGTTGTCTAGTTTCCATTTATCTTGTGCAGTTTTTAGAGCTGGTTCGTGAAGTCCAACATTATGGATATATACAGCTTGATCCTTGTGCCTGCGACTACCCTGAAGTAGGCTGCACTGCTGCTATTCACGTGGGAAATAATGAGATTAGCTGCGGCATAAAGTTGCCTAATAGCCAGATCCAGGAGGTCAGCTTCAAGATCAACAGGGTGAGGTGCTGGCAGGTCACATTTCTAGTAAGTACCTTGTGAGCAACTTTAATATCTTCCAAATATTTTAACAGGCTAGAAAAATCCCTAAACAGAGCTGCCTTTCATATAGGGAATAATAAACAACCCAAGTGTAGATTGCTTTCATGTGAGTTTTTAATGGCATATAGGGGGCAGGAAGAAGTTGTTGTGGATTTGAAGTCTGTGCAGCCAGAAACTTACAGGTGCAACTACTGCACATGGCGGGATACAAGACAATAGGAAATTATTATTAGCATCATTCTGTACCATCCTATAGCGAAAGCTCTCTGGGCAGTTTAGAACAATTTAAACAAATGGCCTTTGTAGAATTTTTGTAACATACAGACAAACAGACCTAAGAGTTCTGAGCAACTCAACACTTGTCCAATGATAGCAGCTTCCTGCACTCTGGATTTCACAGGGTAGCACAGCACTGAGAGGGCAAGACACATCCCAGAGTTAAGCAAGTGCCTTTTTCCATCTGGGATGCCAGCTGATTAAATATACATAAATTTAATCTCTGAGATCTTCCAAGGAGGTCTTATTGGTTGTTCTGCAACCACGAGTATCATCAGCTGAATAGATGTAAAGTGAGGCTTCACAGTTGTGGCACCCACCCTTGGAATACTTGCCAACATGCAGTTCAAGAGGCATAAACGGTGGTTTGCTTCAAATGCCTTATGAAAATACATTTGTTCGCTCAGACTTTCCAGGACTAGTAGTCAGTCATGACACTGCTCTTGTAATGCTTTTGTGGATCTTTCCAGTTTTCTATCGTATATATTATTTTTTACATTCTGTTGTATGTGTTCTCATGCAAAGTGCTTGGGCATTTTGAGATGTCAAGCAGTATAGAAATATCTTGAATAAATATATCCCCACAGCCTAGCAGGAGTGCTCCTGTTCAGGATTCCATCCAACCTAGGATAAGATCTATGCAGTAGTGTGCAGTGTGCAGGCATCTTACGCCAACCTACCTCCTGAGTCCTTTCCTATCTCTGCTAGTAGTTCATGATTGAGCAGGGGAGGAATTTCTTCTTCTTAAAATATTCCTGCAACACCCCCTGCTCCAAGATTTTGTAAAAACAGGCCATTTTCCTCCATCACACTGCCCTCCCTTTTTCAACTGCTATGCTAACAATCTGTGTCTCAATGCTTCTCAGCCATGGGCTAAACTGATAGCAGATGAATTGTCTCAAGATGGTGTCTGAGATCTTGGAGCAGAGGGAGTGGCAAATTATGCTGCTATCCTGCAGTCACCACTATCCTACCACCTCCAGTGGGTGCTCTGGGGAGTCCCACTAGCTACGCTCTTGCTATGGCATTTGCCACAGAAGGAGCACAGTCAGTGGGGCTCACTGGAGCAGCTACATACCCTCTGTTTCTCACATCACATTCTCTACATTTCCTTTATTTTTGCTGCAATCAGGTCAGCTCTATGAATAGCTGCCTGGCCAGAAGAAGCAGGGGTGGGTTCGTATGAGACCCAAGAGAGCCCCTGCAAGAGCCTTACAGCTTTTTCTGGCAGACTAGTTCTCCATAGTGCTAACATGGGGCCAGTAAACACAAGGGGGAGCATATTGGGAGAAGAGGAAGAGGATGATACAGCAGCCAGGAAGGGGTATGATGCAGCTTCAGCACACCAGCTCTCCTACCTCATGTGAAGAGAGGGCTTGTGCCAGATCTTTGATAGCTGCTTATAGAAATAATTTGAGAGATCCAAGATGTTAATATAGCTGTGGTTGGACAGTGGTGTGAACTAGAGAATTTCTGAATGTCATAATAGTGTTTGTTTGTTCAGGGATCTGTTGCAGGCCACGGACTTGACCAGTTCTTGGAGCTCAGGTTTGAGTATAATGATTCTGACACATGGAGATGGATTGCTTTTAACACAAAGCAGGTTTGTTTTGCTTTTTAAAAAACGAGTCTTGGGGGGTAAACTGAAGTCTGTCTTACATGTGCAGTATGCATGCCTGGATTATTGACCCTGTTGGTTTTTAAAAGGTTTTCTTTGGGAAGAGGAACTTTAAAGCTGGTGCAGAACTTCTTAGTCCAAGGACAAATTCCATTTCAGAGAAGGTTTTGAGGATCACATTTCAGTTGTGGGTGGGAATGAAACAAACAAAACTACCAGTATATTTTAGCTTCAAGCTCTTCCTGCCAATAATTAAGCTTTAGGACAGTTGTTTTCCTCCATTCTAAAAGGTTATAACAAGAACCCACCAAAAAATCAGTGTTGCTTAGCAATGTGCTAGGGCTGGAGAATGGGGCGTGGCCATTTGGCAAACTCTGCTCTAATTATCCTCCCAAGCTGCTTCCCCTTGCTGTGGGCACAAAAATGCTTGCTTGTGTATTTTCTCCATTGAAGCAGAGAAGTAGCTAGGTACTCTCTGCTGTTCCTCCACCCCAGATTTCCCACTCCTGAACTAGTGTGGAACGTATAGCCATTCTATCTGTTAATCTCTCAGCCGACATAGCAGCTGCCGGTCATCTTTAGTCCCATCAAATCAAGAACGTTCTCCCTGTATCTAAGCTGTAGAATCTACACCAAGTATCCGCAAGGTTATCTTCATAAACATTTTATTAAGCCCCCCACATTCTGTTCATTTGTTTACACTTAGAAAACTGCTTTGTGAACATGAAAGGGACAGCCAATCAGGGCTGTGCACAATATTATATATTTCAATGAAAGATGTGTACCCAGACATGGCATGTCTGTATATTGATTTGTTTCAACAAACAAAACTGTTCTACAGTAAGTCACAGCTTAGGCTTAAAATGGCAGTGACTTCCCAATCCTGGAGCTGAAAATCAGTTTAATTAACTGAAAATGTCAGAAATTAAATCTGGGACATTTTACATTCAAAGCATTTTCACATGTAGCATGTGCTTCAATGTTAAGTTATGCCTGTTATGCCTTCAATGTTAAGTTATGCCAGGCATAAGTTATGCCTGAGAGGCAGTACCTCTCAGTCATTGTGGCTATACATTTTTGTTAATGTAGGGATGGGTTCTTTCACATGATTAATTGAATAACATATGAGTACCAGCTGGGAATTTTTAAAAAGGGAACCATGCACAAAACAAGGCTAATTGTAGTCTAGAAAGTAGTAGTTCTATAAAACAAGAATGTTCTTTTAATGAGTACCTAAACTTAACATGCAATCATTTTTCCCATTTGTAGGCATTCCTCCTAAGCAGTTGCTTGAAAAAGATAATATCAGAGCAGCTGATGACAACAAGTAAAGGAGACCAAGAAATGGTGAGCAAAGCTTGACGATCCAATTTGCCTAATTGTTGATGTGAAGTTATTAGTTGCATTGCCCCAATTGTCCGAAGATGATCCAACTTGTGTTTATTGGATTCCATTATTTTTACTTCGGTGAGTTGTCTAGAACATTCTCAGGAGAAGGCATTGATAACAAGGACCTTTTTAATGTTAGGGCAGGGAACCTCAGCCCACAGCTTTACCTCACCCATCCTCGAGGCTGGAAAAACCCTAATTGCTGTCAGGAAGGCAGCAGGCATGCACTTCCAAGTAGTCTCACTGCTTGGAAGGGAAAAGCCAGCCCTATCCTACCCATGCTCTGCAATTGTACTACCTGAAATATTGCAGCAAGGGAGTAAGGAACACAGGCAACTAGAGGAGCTGGAGAGAATAGGACAGCAGGGAAAGAGGGGAGTGGGAGGAAAGGGAGCATAAAAGGGTATGCATGTGTGAAAAACAGGAGAGGTTTTCTCTCCTGAAGATTGGGCATCCCAGAAGATTGCCCTTTGGAAATGTTACACTCGAACCAAAAAAGGTTGCTACATTTTTCCTATCACACATCCCCATTCATGGCTGTGCTGCTTTGCATCCTTGGATCAAATCCTATGTTGTTTGATAAGATACACTTCCAACCGAGTGCACATAGAAGTGGGATGTATACTCCCATTTTATAACTGAAATTAAACCCTGAAAGATGGTATAGAAATCTTAAGAAATTAACTAGGAAGGAGAGATTTATTTTAGAATGCCCCCAAGCTCTTTTATATCTTGATCCAGTATTGTCTTCTGGATTGCCTTAGAGCTATGGTAGCATTAGGGTATGTGCTATCCTCTCTTGAGTAAGAGTCATAACTCTTATTCATGTTTGCTATCAGTGGAGATCATGCTCATAAAATCAATGTCGGTAAGAGAAACACAGGTAAGATTGCTAGTATTTTAACACTTGAAGGTTTTCACTGGCAATACATTTGAGTTACTTGCAGGTAAGGGTGTGTGTCGTGACCTGAGCCAGCTAGAGCTGGGGTCAGACTAGATGGCTTGGGAGACCCCTTCTGACTCGCTATGTTTCTGTGGTTTGTGTGTGTGTGTGTGTGTGTGTGCGCGCGCGCGCGCGTGCGAGAGAGAGATCTTTTAGCACAACAGCAATTTTTACATTTAACCAATCTGTTTTAGCAAATTGAGCTTCTTGAACCAGATAAGCCTAAGAAACCAAGCATCCATCCAAGTCAGGTTAGTGACTTACATTATATAAACTAGATTGACATGAGAGGGGGTGGGACAGGAATCAATATGACAGCTACATTTGTCTAAAGGCCTTATGGCAATTTGAAGCTAGTGACTTCATTGTAATTCTATGTGCCATTGTTATATTGAAGTCTTAGTGGAATATAAGAGAAAATGTAAAAAGGTGGCTGAATTGTGAACCAGAATGTTGCTGGTTCAAGTCTCCTATCTGCCACAAATCACTAGAGGGCCATACAAGAATTTGTTACTCATTGCAGGTATGTCTGACATGTGCTGTATTCTGACCTGCCTTGAGTCCTGATTGTAAGAATTACTGAGATAATGGCTCTGGGTCTGAAGCACTTTGAATACACACTGTAGTGTTATATAAGCATTATCACTTTCTCATACCTTTGATTCTGCACAGATATTTCATTCTGGTTTTAAGGCAAGAAAAAAGATATCAGCAAGTAAATCAAATGAGGATGACTGTGTGTTTGAGAAAATAAGTGAAGAAGATTTGTGATCAGCACTTCAGCTGCTGCTTTTGGGGATGTTAAAATAAGAAACAGAAAACAGTAATTACATTTGTCCTCTGCTTTAATAACAATCTTAATTCTCTAACTCCTTAATGTATAAAACATCAGTCAGCCACTACTGGGAGCCCTAATTTACTACAACTGGAAGGAGTTCTGTAAATATTGTGCACATAGACTTGGTTTTATTTATTTTTAAGTATAGGAACTTAAAAATGGAAAACACATCACTTGTCTTGGATCGACATACAGACTTTTTGTCTACTGAAATTGCTGGAGGAAATGTGGCTTTAAAGGGCCATTGTCTGCTTCACTGCTTTTCTGTTCCATGGAACATACATTCCCAGCCACATTACACACTGCCCTCAATCTTGGTGAAGTCTTCCTATGCATAGAGTACAAAGTTTACTCATGAACCTACATTTCAGTCAGAACTGAACTCAGACAGAAGGATTTATTTGTAGGACTTTTTCCACTGTTCTGTAGTTCCTTGTAGAATCTGTTAAATGTAGATTTTCATTCCACATGTGTTTGATCATTTTCCCCTTCTTTCCCCAGTCTTGCACTTGCTACTGGAATAGATTACCCTCAGGACAATTGAATTTTGTTTGTTTCTATTTTAACTATTCCAATATTTCAACACAACTTTGATCTGTTTTTTAACTTAATATGTTTTGTAAAAGACATTTTTATAAAAAACGGTGGAGCTAACTTGTGATAAATACCATGTGAATATGTTAAATAAAAGCACTGTGAAAGAATATAAAGGGTGGTAACTTTTTAAAAATATATGGTTTATTTCCTGAAAGCCTTCAAAATGATCCAGCTGTCTGAGCTAGTGATTCAAGGAAAGTGTGAGGAGGTGGTTCTCCCAACATAGAAAATTTCACAAATGTACCCAAATATCTCAAAGGTATATATGTTAATAACATGGAACCATCCTCTATACTAGGGGTTAGATTTCTTGGGGCCATTCTGATATTCTAACTTACAATACTCTGTATGCCCATGGACACATTTTCCTTGCACTCACTAAGGTTCCCTATCCTCCCACTTAACATATTTGCTTACCAGTTGGGATTGCTTTGAAACAGGTTTGTGCTGGCTTTGAATGTAGGTTTGAGGGAGTTGTTTAGCATGTTTGAGCTCAGACCCCATGTCTGCTGCAAACTCAGACATTTTGGGCTGGTTACTTGTCATTTTCTGTGCATCCATTTTATGGTGGTGCCCTGGGCATGTTCTCAAATTATAGATATGAAGATGACTCAAAATTCCTGCCTATCCCTGATCAATGCACACTTTATTCTGTCATGAGCATAAGAAAGTTGGGGTTGAAGGATAAGTTAGAATCGGCTTGAACAACCTGCTTTATATACTCATATACAGCTTAAGTGTGTGCACTGTGTAAGTAACTCTGCTGATTCCAACGTAAACTTTTCTGGCAGCCACTCTCTCATCTCAACATACAGAAGTTTGGCTTCAAAACTATTTTCCTGGTTGTCTGGCAGCTCTGTGCTTATTATACTCAAGAAGCTTGAGTAGTTATAAAGATGCCAAAGTGGGGCATCATCTTGACACTGCTTTTCATAAAATTGAGTCCTGTAGATGTCAAAGAGCAGAGCAGGTGACCTGCTGGGCCTTCTCCTTAGCCACTTTTGGAAACAACTGTGATTGTTTCTTATAGAAAAAAGTAGCCATGTGGTTTGTTATAGAAAAGAATTAGCTCCTGTTCCTACGTCTGAGATGTGAGTAACAGAAAATGACTGGTCATCAAAAGTTAAGACTAAAAGGAGACAAAGCTAGCAGAAAGCTCCTTTTCAATGCAGTGCTTTGAAATAATCATGCCCCATCTAGACTACCTCTCCCCTATTTCTCTTATACCCTTTGCCTTCATTAGCTGTGTTGAAATTGAATTCTTATGTTGCCTTATTTCATCACACCAATGGCCAGTCTAACTGCAAGCTAGCTGTGGAGATGCTGAGAATTGTAGTCTTCACACCTGGAAAGCACCAGTTAAGGAAGACTGGTCTACATACAAGGATGAAAGGAGGAAAGGGGATATCTGGGCAGTAGTGGAGGGGAAAGAGTATGCTTGAGGGTGGTGGTGGTCCCAGAAGTACTGCCCTTCACCACATGTGGTTAATAAAGGCCAGAAGGTATCTCCCCGCCCAGCCCTGCTTGATCATAACTGATGCTGGTATTCTGCATTTAACTGTTTTCTCATCTGTTTAGATCCTGATTGATCTTTTTTTGAACTATAGAAAGGGATATTAGGAAGTGTCCTTAAGATGCAAACCTATACGTATTTACCGGTAGGTAGGAAAAAGGCCTACAACTCCCAGCATGCCCCAACCAGCAGATTTGCACCATTAGGAAGCAAAGGAAAGTACATCTAGTGAGACTTGTTTATCTAGCTTAGCAATTGTCTTTGAACTTAAGGCCTCCAGACACTGTTTGATTGCAATTTCCATTGTGTCACCAAATATCTTTCTATTTGGAGAAAGATAAGTAGCCCCAGAAAATGGAAGGTTCTTTCTAAACTGCTTTTTTCACCTGAGAATATTTTCCCTTTTCTTTTCAGACAGCTAAGTGCCTTCTACCCCTTGAGTTTCTTTGCTAGATTTTAACTCCTCAGATTCCTGGTCATTGTCCATGTTGGGTGGCGCTGATGGGAGTCCTACAACATTGGGAACCCACACATTCACATCCCAAACTATAGAATAGCAGCTGTTTTCCCGGTTCACACAATCACTGGTGGGTGGGGGAGAAGTCACAGTGGCTTTTCACTACTTTACCCTGTGTGCCAGCTGTAAACTATGTAATTTCCCTGATTACCTCCACAGCATGCAGGCTGTTATGTTGTCTAAAGCCAGTAAGGTGAGCAGCAGGGTATGGCTTTGAAACTACCCATGCATCCTACAAGCCATGGGATCTGGTGGTTTTGAAACAATCAGGCTGTGCTACTTTCTAGGTTCAGGCAACACAGTAGGTCACATACTACAAAGGTAATTAAATCATGCATTGCACAACCAGCTACCATGGCTTCTTTTCTGTGATCATCCAAACCTGGTCAGGGTCTCTCAGAAACGTGGCTTATACTATACAGCCATCCTGCCTCATTCAGTTAATTATCTAAAGGTTCACAAAACACTGTCTTCCACTCCTAACACTCATGTTTCCCCAAGACTTCATCTTTTTTATTGCCACAAAAAATCCATCAAGGAAACAAAGAGAATAGCCATTCTGTCCAGAAAAAGGGTGGGGAATGTGTGTGGCCCTAAAATGTTGTTGGACTCCAACTCCCATCAATCACAGCATGGCTAGTGACCAGATGTTAAAAATTATAGTCTAACAATTCCTGGAGGGTTCTACATAGGTCTGCACCGAGCTGCTGCCCCCATGATAAGTTCGACTACAACTCCCAAAGTCCCGCAACAAGGGAATGCTGGGAGTTTGTAGTCCAACACTTCTCAAGGGCACTAGGTTGAGAAACATTGGCTTATAACTCCTGTACCCGCAACGTTCCGTGAATAAAGCCTTGTCGGGAGGCTCCTGGATATGCCGGAGACCAGCCTCACACCTTTTATTGTGGAACGCGTGTTAGCGGAGAGTCTTGAGTCTCACGTGGTGGTCTTTCTTATTGGTATCGGCCCTCGGGAAGCATAATTCCTACTAAGGAAAGGGATGCTCAGACTGCTGCTTTTACATCAGCCAACCTGCGAGGGGCGCTGACTCAGTCCGATGCGCAGCCTTTCCCTTTCGCCATTTTGTTGCCTGAGCGAAGCGCTGTTGACGCTCTCTAGGTTTCCGGTCCCCAAGTTTTTGTCCTTACAGCATCGGTTTCCAATCGAAGGGGCTCCAAGAGTACAGCAGATGGCAAATGTGAGGGGAAAAAAGAGCGCAATCTTTTTAGACAAGAAAAAAACTACAACTCCCAGCATTCTCCAGCTAGTTTTTTTTTTTTACTTGTTTAAGCAGGCATAGGATTGAACGGCGGGGTTGGTTAGGAAAGAACTCCATTTCGTTGCCGTTCTTTGGAAATAGCTATGCTCGGAAATAAATTCGGAACTATACAGGGCAATGCTTTTATTTCCCTTTCGGCAGAACTAATTCAAGCCATTCCAGCATAACTCTGCCCATAAAAGCTTCGCGACCATCAAACCAGATTTTCTGTCTTCTTCCTTCCCGCAACGGCCTTTCCTTTAACAACGACAAAATAAAAGCCGGGATTCAGATATAACAGAGCCACAAAGAGCAGTTTATCCAGTGAGCCGAGGTGAGAGCGGGTAATCGGAGCGGGGTATGAGATTATTTCCAAGCACAGCCATAGAAGAGAGCCCATGTATTAACCCTACTAATTTACCTTAGAGGGGTTTTTATTGGTGTTTTTTAGTGTCCGATTCCGAGATGCTTTTGCCCCTGTAATCCCGCCTACCGTAGGATTGACAAATTGCCATCAGGAACCGGAAGTGCTGAATTAGGTTCCTTTGCTTTGGCGTTTAGGCCTCTTTGGTCCGACCCGGCCTGGTTCTTGGAGGATTTCGGCTGCCGACCGAATCGGAAGGGCTGGAAAAGGAGCGGCGCTGAGCGGCCGGAGTGGCTTTCACATGAGCAGAAGCCAGTGCCGTCTCTGGTACTCGAGGCTGGGCCAGCTGGGTGGTTGTGACTGAGGAAAGGCGGTCTGCGGGGGAGGCGGGTTGTCAGAACAGATACTCTTTTATTTGGAAGGCGATAACATCGGAGGAGGGAAAGGAGCTGCCTTTGTGGAAGGGTGCAAGCTGATAGTCTATGTGGGGGTCCCCTGTGTGATTAACGGCGCTCCTTTATTTGGGAAGTGGCCCTAGGGTGCTTGTGCTCGCCTTTAGCAAGAAAGAAATGTATGCTAGCTAGAAATCCAACAGGTGAAGTCCCATTCCCCACCCCCAAATCACTCATTACCCGGCATGGAGAAGCGGAATATATTTTCTGAAATGGATCTTTCATACAACTGTTAAAATGAGATCTTAAAATTCTTTCTTCATTTTAAATATTTACATCTTGCGTTTCTGCCTTTAAAACGTTCGGCAAGGCTTTCTGAATCCCAGCTGTTCAATACACTAGTAGCAATAAAATGACCCCAGCACACCCTAGCTTTTATTGCTCAGATTGAAAGAACTGTTGGGTAAGCAGGTGTGGATTTCTGTATAGGACTGTGAGTCCATACACTAAACAAGCCTGGCCTCCAATTTATTTAATTCTCCATATATCTGTTCCTCTGCAAGCAGCTCTACTTTGTAGATCAAGGTGCTAGTCGAAGACAAAGTAGGTCCTGCATAACTGAAGTCTGCCCTGCCCACCCCAGGCTTACAGCCTATTTAAAAACAAACAAAAAAGCAATAGCGTCACAGAAATAATTTAAGAGATGATTACATTAAAAAGGTGGGAGGACAAATACATACATCTAGGGGACAGGCAGAGCAGTTTTGTTCCTTGTTCACAGTTCCTTTGTTCAACCTGGAGCTTGCATGAGTAGCCTGAAGGAAGAACTGCAGTTTATAAATTTCTGCATCACAGTTCAGACTTTGAGCTACCCTGCATCTAACCTCCCCTTCCTGGAGCAATGAATAGACTTATAAACAGGTATAAATAGCAAATTGAAAAATAATTGTTAACTCTCTACCTGAAATGCACACGCAATAAAATATTCCTCAGAACACCAATAACACCCAGAGATTGAGAGCTAATGCCTCATAGAGAAACATAAGGGGAAAAGATAGGAATAGATCAATCTTAACTTCCCAGAGTGAGGTGAGTAATTTCAATGTACACTTAATACAACTTATCTAAGTTTATTTATAATTTCTGCATCTAATATATTTATTGCTACTAGTAATGCTAGAGGCTTTATAAAATGCTTTCCTTCTAGAGTAATAATCATTTTGACCTCTCATTATTAAGCCTTTTAGTGTGGTTGCTCTTTATCCTCTTCCTTCCATTTATCAAAAATAAACTTGGTTGTGAACTCTAGAAATATGAATGGCTATTAACTGGAAGGTATCTGGAAAGACTGGATTGCCTTAGGTGTACAAGAAAACCCAAAATTTTCTATTGGCACATCACTCTCAGACAGACACTGACTTGGTTCAGACAACACAAAAATCCACATTGCAGGGTTGAGTATGAGTTGTTGCTGAGTTGCAGCTTGGTTTGAATGATGAGTTGCTGTTGAAAAGTGGATTATTGTGTTTGACCCCAGCTGTGCTATCAAGCCAGAACTTGATAACCACAACAACCTATGAAGAGAACCCATGGTTTGCTTTGATTATAGAAGAGGTAGGGATCTTCTATGAGCCCAGGAGCCAAATTCAGCCTCAGATAAATGTTCAGGAGCAACATTCCAGTGGTGGGCAGGGCCAAAGGCAAAAAATTGGAAACCCACTCCAAACCATCCAGCATATAGTAACTTTACAAAGCAATCCTACAGTGCCCAGATAGCTTCTAGGGGCAATAGGATGCTTCAAATTCCCACATCCAGCACCAGAAAAGAGCTGACTTTGGAGCTGGGTATCTGAACATGGATTTCCTTCTGCATCCAAATCACAGCTTGTGTAGAAAGAAGGCTGCTGCTTCGAGGATGTCAGGGTGATCTCCAAGAAGGAGTAAGGAGGGCATTCTAGGGTGGGGAGCAGAGGAGACTGATGTCCTAGGATACAACCCATGGTGTGTCATCCAAGCCCAAGCAGCTATCCCATTTTGAAAAGGTGACCTGGACCAATGTCAGTTCCAGGCACCACACATGTACTCAGATGAAACTCAGAGGGACTGTCACTGGCTGGGTGTCTCCATCATGTTTGTGGGCCTTTTTCATTTGCAGGTTTTTTCTGCTTTAGGCCCCCCCCCCCTTTTCTTTTTTTTCTTTTTCTTTTGCTGGTAATCACAGTATCCCATTTGACAGCACATTCTTGTGATCTCCATTTTATGACAGGAAGGAAAAGATTAAATGAGGTGTGCAGCCTGCAAAAATGGACATGTGATTGTGGGGTAGGGGAGCAGACAAGTTGATCCTGCTGCAGAGTCCCCTGGGGCAATGTGGGAGGATAAGGGGCAGCTACCCACAGTGACCCCCATCATCTGTCATTTGCATGATGGGTTCCAGGATTAGGTTAGAATGATATGTGAATATATCCACTGAGCTGACTATGCAAACTGTTGGATATGCCCCATGATTTCCTGCTTTAGGGGATGGTCAGTAATGTCAAGCCAGCCTTCTCTTTGAGGAATTCCTGAGGTTTCAAGGAACCCCTAAATTCTTAGAAATTCTGTTTAATGGTCCCTGCTGTAGAGCAAGGACTAGAGAAAATATGGTTCTTCAGATGTTACCGGGCTGCATCTGCCATCAACTTTCACCATTGACAATGATGGCCAGGAATGACAGGATGTGCAGTCCTTCAACATTGGGTGGACCATGTTCCCCATCTCTGCTTTAGAAGGGTACTAAAGCTGTTGTTGGATAGAAGGTGGCAAGGGGTGGTGGCCAATTACAGAGGGAGACGGCTGTTATTGTGAATTTCCCATTCTGCTTGTACTCCCCGCAACACTGCCTATGTTGTCCATAAGGAACCCCTGATATTTCCAGGAGGCCATAGTGGTGTTATACAGAAAGAGCCCCTTTCCTCATTCAACCCACAGTATTCCTTCCACAGGCAGCACCCATCTATTTAGAGGAATCTAGATCCAGCCCACTATGTCTAAACTGAGTAAAATGGGCCAATTGAACAGTTTTGGAAATTCCATGTACTGACCACATCTACTTATTGGAAGGAAAGGAATAAAAATAAAGCTTATTCTCTATGTTTCATGTGAGTGGGCTTTTCAAATTAAGATAATTAGAATATCCAATTAATCACATGCTAGAAATGGGATACTTTCATTTGGCAACGTATTGCTGCTTGTTTGCTTTGAAATACAGCATAATATGCATAGATGGTTACTAGGATTATATTCCGTTAAAAATGATGTGCTTGAAGAAATTGAAAATAGCTGGTTAGATTTCTACCCGTTAATTTGGGAGAGGGTACTTTTCCAGGGCATCTTGAGGTGTTCTTTCAATAAGACTCTCTTCTGTTACAGACTGCACTGGAGCGTGACACAGCACTGAACTACTCCGAGTCCGCCATACCTACCAAAGGCAAGACTTGGTTTTATTTATTTATTACTGAGAGTTCACACTTTTATCTTTATTTTACTTGATGGAGGTTTTTAAGTGTTTTACAATTCCAGGTTGCAGCAAACCTGGGTGGGAACGGCAGAAAAGTTTATTTGTAGGTTGTTTCTAGGAATTAGTTTGTAAGGGCATGATGAATTCAGAGTTGCCCTGCTTATTTGGGAAGTGGACCATAAAGCCCGATTTCCAGTGAACCAGAACTCAGCCAGCCCTCCACCTCACTAATGTTCTGAGGAATATAGCAATCTAGAAAAGTAGGCAGCCTTCCTAGGAAAATGGATGCCGCTAATACACTAGAGGGCGCAGGTGATCTATGAATGTCTAATCCCTCAACTCAAAGTTGCTTCTTTAGCGTCAAAAATAGTTATCTAGTTTAATTAAGGGGTATTTCCAGACAAACTTTTTATAGAACCATCACCCTGCTTCGTTTACAGAATGTTATATGTTGTTCACAAAAAATCTCTTAAGGAAAAATGATGATCTTGCCCTATAATGCCCATAGCATTTGGTCAAATTCCAAACATGCCTACCAGCCCCCAAAACGTTAGGGACCACCAATCTAAATACTTATTCTGCATGTTGTATGGAATCCACTAGAAAGCTGTGTGGAAAGTATGGAGTCCTGAACATCCGAATGTGTATTCCTTTCCAAATCAAATTCTATACCATTAGGCTGTATTTTTCACTGCTACTGCTACTCTTTCACTGTTGCCTAGTTCAGGATACATGGAAGCAACCCGGTTAGCACTGATGTAGAATAACCTCCATTAATTTCAGTGTATTCCCATATGATTCTCTTTGAATTCAAACTGCAGGTTGCATAGAATCAATCTGCTTTTGCTTCCCTGTCTCTAGATTGGCCATCTAATGTGCATCCTTTGGATAAAAGGCTTTATATAATTAACAATATACAGTAGAGAAGGTGGCAACATTTTTAGAGCAAGTCTGATGGGATTGATGCATGTGGAAAGGACAGTCTTTTATCAGTCTTTTAACTTCTGCCTTGGTGCAGAAGTTCATATGTAAATAAGGAATAGATAATGGAGAGTTGAAATCCCATTAGGAGTGGTTTTATTTATAGCAAGTATAAGCATGTCTTATCTGCATTACTAGATCTGTTACCTTGAGACAACCTGGTGTTTATGCCTGTGTCCTTTTGCAAATAGAGAAAAATAAATATTTGTCTTTACCTCCTGTTTTTCTTGTTTCTTTTTCTGGAACTTGTACACCCTATATATTCTGAAATTAAGTCCTGGAAATAGAGAAGTCTATTCTAGAAAGGCGTTACCAGTTCTGGGAGCTGAATCAGCCCTCAGAGTGAGGCAATTCTAAATTCTCATACCAACAAAGTAGGAATAAAAAAGGTGCTCTCTATTCAGAGAGCAGAGTTGAGCATTTTATGCAATAAAGTGATCGGTCTCAGTCTCATATAGCAGTTCCTTAATTGAGAAGAATATTTGTTTGAAATGTTAGCCTTCATTAGCCTAGGCTCACCATTGGTTTCATTTCATTTTTCAAGTGCAGACTTGCTCCATTTCCCAGCTACGAACCGCCATGTCCTATGTGTTTGTAAACGATTCCTCACAGACAAACGTGCCTCTGCTACAAGCTTGCATTGATGGAGATTTTAACTATTCCAAGAGACTCTTGGAGAGTGGCTTCGACCCAAACATTCGTGATAGTCGAGGCCGGACAGGCCTCCACCTAGCAGCAGCTAGAGGAAATGTTGACATATGTCAGCTGTTGCACAAATTTGGTGCTGATCTTCTGGCTACTGATTACCAGTGCAACACAGCCCTTCACTTGTGTGGGCATGTGGATACCATTCAGTTCCTCGTCTCTAATGGACTCAAAATAGATATTTGGTAAGTCTGATACCTTGAAACATCAGCCTTGAATATATTGTTAGCACTCTGAATGCTAAATTGTTGCCTGTGGTAATCTACTGTAAGAGACCAATCAGGCGACAGAAAGGGAAATGTACAGCACTTGAGATAATCCAAGTTATTTTTACTCCTGAGCAAACAGGAGTAGAAATTCAGTGTAGCTCTGGCTTTGCACCTAGCTGATGAGAAAACAGATGTGGTTGTTTCATGGTGCTAGCACTTCTTGGTGGCCACTGCTGCTTTCATGAATGCTCCCCAGACAAAGTAGAGAGATCATGTGACCCAGTTTGTGTGATCAAATTAAGTCACCCTACCTTAAATAATGATACTGAGCATCATTTCCCTAATTACCTGCCAGGGCATGGCTTGCTGTGTTGTCCTCATTTGAGGGCAAGCAACACCTCTATTACCATTGTATTTATACCATGGTGGCTTACAGATTATGTGGACTAGGAGGGACCAGACACCTGGGAAAGAATGCAGTGATTACTAGAAGCTAACATGGATTTTTCAAGATGCCAACATGGATTTCTAGATGCCAGCATGGATTACTAGAAGCCAATGAGGATTTTTCAAAAATTAAACCAGATGAATCTGATTGTTTGTTTGTTTTTTTTAATTGGGTAACCTTGCTGATGGACTGTGGGAATGCTGTGGGCATGATCTATCTTGACTTTAGCAAAGCTTTTGACAAAGTGTTCCATGATACCCTGATTAGTAACCTAGCAAAAAGTGGGCTAGATGAGGCAATGATCAGGTGGATCCACGGCTAGCTACAGAATCGGATTCGAAGAGTGCTCATCTATGGCACCTTCTCAAATGGGAAGAGATAACAAGTGGGGTACTGTATGGTTCAGTCCTGGGCCCAGTGCTGTTCAACATTTTCATTAATGACTTGGATGAGGAAGTGCAGGGAACAATTATCAAATTTACAGATGATACAGAACTGAGTGGGATAGCTAATAACCTTGGAGAACAGAAATAAGATTCAAGGTGATCTTGATAGGTTGGAACACTGGGATGAAAACAACAGAATGAAGTTCAATAGGGACAAATGCCAAGTTCTGCACCTAGGAAAAAGAAACCAAAACACATCGTTAACAGATGGGGAATCTTTGGCACAGTCCTGCAAGCGAAAAGGATCTTAGAATGTTTGTAGATCACAAGCTGAGTATGAGTCAATGGTCAACAATCTCGTGGCTGCAAAAAGAGCAAGTGCTATTTTGGGCTGTATTAACAGAAGTATCACTTCCAAATCCTGTGAAGTACTAGTTCCCCTTTACTCAGCACTAGTTAGGGCTTATCTGGGGTACTGTGACCAGTTCTGGGCACCAGAGTTTAAAAAAGATGCAGAAATGGTTCAGAGGAGGGCAGCAAGAACGATCTAGGGACTGGAAACAAATCTATGAGGAGAGAATGAAAGAACTGGGTGTGTTTAAGCTCAAGGAGAGAAGGCTGGGGGGAGATAGAATAGCACTCTACAACCTCTTGAATGTGATAATGTGCAGCATGGATAGGGAGTTATTTTCCTCTCTTTCACAATACTAGAATCCCTAATCATCCCTTGAAGCTGAACATTGGGAGACTCAGGACAAGCAAAGGGGAGTACTTCTTCACATAGCACATAGTTTAACTCATGACCTCAAGATCTAGTGATGAGCATCCATTTTGATGGCCTTAGAAAGGTGTTAGAGGAATTCATGGAGGATAATGTTTTCAATGGATACTGGTCATCATGGGTATATATTACGTCCAGTATCAGGGTAGTACAGCTCTGAATGTGTGTTGCTAAAGAACATAAGTGGAAGGGTGCTGTTGCCTCATGCCCTACTTGCAGGCTTGCCATAGGCCTCTCACTGGCCACTTTGTGAACAAAACACTGGACTAGATGGACTCTGCTGTGAGCAAGCATGATGATATGAGGCTTGGGCATGGAACACAACTCGTGCCAATCAGGGGATGATACGGAGGGTAAATATTTTAGTGGGACTGAAGAGCAGCGGGTTGCCCAAGGTCTTGGGAGTCAGCAGGAGATTATGGAAGTGGATGAGATTAGAGCTAGACAGGACATGGATGAGGTGCTGCCAGAGCATGGGACCGGGAGGGGGAGACAGCCAGCAGGAGGGGCTACTGAGGGTGGAAAGTCTTCAAGTGGGGACCACCTGCTCCCTCCTGAGCTGGGTCCATGGCTAGGCAGCAGCAGAAGTGAGAAACAATTGGATGTATGTAGCGTGGAGGTGTGCACACTTTCACAGTGCCCCTTTCCAAGGGTTGGGACACAAGCTCCCTCAGAAGGAGTTTTTGGGAAGTGATCCCTAGACAGGAGTCAGCTGATCGCTTTGTGTATGCTCTAGAGACACAGCTGGATTATTTATACGTAGAAACAAGAGAGTTTGTGGCTGGTGACAGCTGGGACAGAGGATGTCTGGCTCATGACAGACTCTTCATCTGATTCAGTATGGCTTATGTTAGACTGGTACTCAGTTGCCTGACAGAGTTGCGATATCTGGGCCACAGATGGAATTGCACTTCTGACTCTAATGCCATCCTCTAATTTGGAGTTGAAGGAGATATCTAAAAAGTCCTCTTTTGAACAGCTTACAATGGGTTTGGACATATGTTTGTTCTCCACTTCTGTGGATGATGTCCTCTTTCGTTGCTCACTGTACCTGCTCCTAAAGCTTGTGACTCAATCTTTCCATGAAATACTGCATATTCATTCTACCAAGCTCCCAGCATCTGTCATATGCCTGTGCTCAGACAAAAGCACTTAGTGTACTGAATAAATAGCTGTTTGTCAAACACAATTAACAAAAAAGCCAGAATGGTTTCCTGTTTGAACTGTCTGCTCATGGATCCAAATAGGAATTGGCAACTTCAGAGGATCCTGGGTTCATTTGTACCCCGCCAGACTCTTCCAAGGACTGTTTTTTCTTCCCATGGGTATTGGGAACAAGGGTAAGAATAAAAAAGGTGTCCAGAATGGCTATAGAGCACCAAAAGAGTAACAATGTGCTTGTTTGAATGTTAATTTTGACTCTTTTAGGGCTGTATAGTTGCTTGCTGGTGTTAGTCGTGAAGTTGTGCCTGACCCATCATGAACCCATAAACAACATTCCTCCAGGCCTTCCTGTCCTCCACCATCCCCAGAGTCCACTTAAGCTCACACCAACTGCTTCAGTGACTCCATCTAGCCTCCTCATTCTCTGCTGTCCCCTTCTTCTTTTGCCATCAATTGTTCCCAGCATTAGGCTCTTCTCCAGTGAGTCCTTCCTTCTCATTAAGTAGCCAAAGTATTTGAGTTTCATCTTTAGCATCTGGCCTTCTAAAGAGCAGTCAGGGTTGATCTCCTCCAGGACTGACTGGTTTGATCTCCTTGCAGTCCAAGGGACTTGCAGGAGTCTCCTCCAGCACCACAATTCAAAGGCCTCAATTCTTCGGCGCTCAGCCTTCCTTATGGTCCAGCTTTCACAGCCATACGTTGCAAGTATAGTTGCTACAGAGTTCCAAATAGACATCGAGTCTGCAAATAGACAAAGTTGGGATCTGCATGCAGGTTGTAGTCCACATGTTACCTAACCTTGGTTTAAACTTTAATCAGCCATAAATGACTGATGCCCAGTTCCTGTAGCATTTAAACACCATGTAACATTGGAAAATTGGTTTGTGAATGCTTCAGCTGACTAGGATTGTAGAGTATGCTGATAAGTACAATCCTGGTAACTGCTGATGCTGATATTAACAGTTTTTGCTTGATTAGGTTGAACCACATGGAAAGTTCTTTTCAAATAGTTCAGTAAGCCCCTCAATAGAGAAAGTGAACCCTGGAGGTATTGGATCAAAGTGCTTAATTCTAAGAGGCAATGTTTGATTGCAGCCCTGTTAGAGGCACTTGTCCTTCTGAAAACGAGCCTGTGTGCTGAAATTTTCATACAGTTGTTGTCTATCTTTGTTTTCTATTTGTTTTTAAATACTTTTATCGGGCTGTGTAGTAATTTATTGATTTGTTTTATTTATATTTCATGTTTAGCTTGCCTTTCCTCTAACCTTTGAGGCAAGTGTACAAAATCTTTCTTCTCTGCATTTCATCCTCTCGAAAACCTGTAATGTAAGTTAGGCTGAGTCAATAACTGGGAAAAAGTCCCCCAGTGAGCTTCATTGTGGAGTGAGGACCTGAACCCAGATCTCCCCAGTCCAACACTTTAAACTATTAATGCACTCATTTCAAACAATAAACAGTAATTCACAATACAGACCAATATGTAAAAAGTGACAACAGCTACAGGGAGATATTATGAAACATTACTTTAAGCTGATTGGCATCAATTCCATATCATTAGACGGGAGCATAACGACCTGTCATAGAATTACAGAATAGTAGCATTGGAAGGGGCCAGAAAGGCCATTAAGCCCAGCGCCCTGCTCAGTGCAGGATTCCAAGTTAAACCATCCCTCCCAGATGGCTGTTCAAGTGCCTCTTGAATGCCTCCAGGGTGGGATAGCCCATGACCTCCCTAGGTAATTGGTTCCATTGTCATACTGCTCTAATCAGGAAGTTCTTCCTGATTTTCAGCCTGTATCTGGCTCCCTGTAACTTGAGCACATTATTCTGTGCCCTACAGTCTGGGATGATTGAAAAAGAGAACCTGGCTTTCCTCTGTGACAACCTTTCAAAAACTTGAAGAGAGTTATCCTATCTCCCCTCAGTCTTCTCTTCTTGAGGCTAAACATGTCCAGTTCTTTCAGCCTCTCTTGATGGCACCTTGTTTCTAGCCCCCTGATCATGTTTGCTGCCCTTCTCTGAACCCTTTCCAGTTTATCTGCATCTTTCTTAAGCTATAGGATTGAGAACCAGACACATTACTCCAAATGAGGCCTAACCAGTGCTGAGTAAAGGGGAACTAATACTTTACAGGCTTTGGAAATGATACTTCTATTAATGCAGCCTAAAATAGCATTTGCCCTTCTTGCAGCCGCATCATACTGTTGACTCATATTCAGCATGTGATCTACAACAATTCCAAGAGCCTTCTCACTTGCAGTATTGCTGAGCCAGGTATTTCCGCCTTGTAACAATGCATTTTGGTTTCTTTTTCCTAGGTGCAGATCTTGGCATTTGTCCCTATTGAATTGCATTCTGTTGCTTTCAGCCCACTGCTGCTTCTGTCTTCCAGGGTATTAGGTATTCCACCCAGTTTTGTGTCATCTGCAAAAATGATAAGCATTCCCTGCACTACCTCATCAAAGTCATTAATGGAAATGACTTGAAGCACCTTGGACCCAGCACTGAGCTCTTCATGAGAGTACCTCACTTGTTACCTTTCCTCAGTTTGAAAAGTTTCCATTGATGAGCACTGTTTGAGGCCAGTTCTGTAGCCAACTGCAGATCCAACTGATAGCTCTTCCAACTACCCACTTTTAGCTAGTTCGTTGATTAGAATGTCAGGGAGCACTTTGTCAAAAGCTTTGCTGAAGTAAAGATAGCCCACAGCATTCCTGCTTTCTATCAGTGAAGTTACCAATCAAAAGATGAAGTCAGATTAGGCTAGTAGAATTAGTTTTTGAGAAATCCATGTTGGCTTCTAGTAATAACTGTACTGTTTTCTAGGTGTTTGCAGATTGACTATTTTATAATCTGCTCTAGAATTTTCCCAGGGATCATTGTCTGACTGACTGGTCTGTAGCTCCCACGTTCTTCTTTCCTTTCTTGAAGGTGAGGACAACATTAGTCCTTCTCTAGTCATTTGGCACTTCCCTCACCTTCCAGGGTTTCCCAAAGCTAATAGACTGTAGTTCTGAGAGTTTTTCTGCCAGCTCCTTTATTACCCTAGGAGGGAATTCATCAGGCCATTACTATTTTCTAATATTTTGCAATTAGTTGACATACTACCTCCATTCAGAGAAAAATTGTTCAAGTGAGCGCTTGCTCAATCTTTTTCTTTTTCTCTGTGTGTGTTTAATATAGCAATCACCAAGGTGCAACACCTCTTGTCCTGGCAAAAAGAAGAGGGGTAAATAAAGATGTGATCCGATTGCTAGAATCATTGGAGGAGCAGGAAGTAAAAGGGTTCAATAGAGGTACACACTCGAAGCTGGAAACGATGCAGACTGCTGAAAGCGAAAGGTATTGCCAAGGAAAAAAAGAAAGAAATTCAATGTTGATTCTACTTGACTGGTTTGGCATTGCCAAGTGAGATGTCATATTTGGAGCTTGTGCTGCATAATGGAAAAGGTCAAGGCTTGTTATGAGACATGTTTCCATAAAACTTAGTGGATGTGTTTAGGCTTTAATTTTTCAGTTGTTTTTTCATGGGAAGGAGTTCTAAAAAAACTAGACTGCCTGTCTTATGTCGCCCACGAACTTCAGCAGTCAGCCAAAATTGCATATGCCTAGTTCCCACTGAAGCAAGAACTCTGTCTGGCCTGAACCATCTCAGGCCACAAGTCTGAGACCACATATGCAATGCTCCTCCATACAAAAGAATACAGCCCTATACATAGAAAACTAGATGCCATTAACTTTCTTCTTTATGTGTAAGTTTTCTATGTGCTGATAATTATTATGTTATTACATGGAGAAGTTCTTAGTCAGTCAGACCTCATTGCAGTCTGAGGTGGTACAGGTCAAACACAGTGAGAACTGGGCCACAGTGTGTGGATTCAGCAGTACAGTGCCCTTGAGGGCCATGGTTTTCAATGGCTCCATCTGTGCGAGTCACAATGAATGCTGTGATGGTTCAAAAGGAAATATACATCTGTAAACACTTTATGGGCATAATCCCATCAGGCTGTTTGGAAGCCCCTGGATGTAGGGATTTATAAGTATCCCGTGCACAGCAGGAGGAGTGGTGCAAGACATTCCCACCTCCCTGTCTTCCTGCTATGCATTGTCACTAGATATTATATTATATTATATTATATTATATTATATTAAATATTCCACCTCTTTTCCTTCCAAGAAACTCATGGTAGTTTATATAATTCACCTACTCTTAATCATACTGTCACTCCAACAACCCTGTGAGGTAGGTTGAACTAAGAGTCCATGACTTGCCCAGAGTTACCCAGCAAACTCCATGGCTTTGCAGGGACTAGAACCCAGACCTCCTGAGTCCCAGCCAGCACTCTTAGCCACTTCACCACACTGGCTCTCTTTTCACTTACCTAGCAGTAACATTTCAGAGAGGGAGGGAAGGAGGCTAGAGAGGCATCAAGATATTTTCTGCCCTGGTCACTGCAGTCTCTTCCTCTCTCCACAACCATTTTCCCACTTAGCAAGGGGTTGTGGGGGGGATGTTGGAGCTCCAAACTCCATCTTTGAGGTTGGAGCCCCATCTTCCATGTTGGAGATGAGAATCCAAACAATCCAGTGATACCTTCAGACACAGTCTAGGATAACTCCCTTAGACACCCTGGAGAACTGCAAATTGAAGTGGATGGTGGTGAGATAGATGGCTCATTCATCTGCCTTGAGAATATCAGCGTGGAACACTCCTGAGGTAGGGAAATAAGAAGAGCTCTTTCTCTCCTGCCACTGCTCCTGCATGATGCTGGCAGCCCCTTTCCTAGCTGCTGTTGGGCATATACAAATACACCTGCCTTGGTGGTGCACTAAGTTTGTATACAGAGAGAAGTAGTAGAGACATTAATAGATGATACATTACTAGGTTAGGGAAGAGACCCAAAATTGGAGAAACACTTTTCTCTTTAAATTTTCTCTTTCATTACACTGTTTGTAATGTCAGCAGTGCACAAATGATGCATGTTTGTGTGTATGTGTATGCCTAACCTTAGCTTCACTGTGTGACTTAACAAAGAAGAATGCCTTATTCAGCAGCAAATCTGTAAAACAGTACACTGTCATTGTCCCTGTGAATAGGTTTAAAGCATTAACTTTTTTTTTGAACTTTGCACAATAATAGTAGCCATAGTTAGAACTCAGAAATACAATTTACATTTCATAGATTTTGTGGTATAATATTATCAGAAGAATGCTGATGGAATTTGGTTTCATGCCTATGGTTCCATTTTCCTCCTGGTTTTTTTTTTTAAGTTTCTGTTATTTTCTTTTCATCAGATTTACTGCAGCTGTGGCTTAGTGAATGGTAGGTGAGGGTTCCATTTCTAGCTACTCTTACTCTTTAACCTAGTGTGCTGTATGATGGTGGCCATTTTAACTCTGAGGATTTTTTCTGCTTGAGTTTGTGGGCTTAAAGCAACCTGCATCCAGCCACATTGTTGGTTGGGAACAACATCTTACAAAAATGCAGCCTGTTATTTCCTAGCAGCAGAAATAACATCTGGGATTTATGTCATTTCCCAAGTTCTTCGTCCGAAATAGCTGGCATTCTAGCATTTGCTACTGTTTTAGTGTTGAAAGCTTAATTTGTTTGTAATGGAAAATGAGGTGGTTTCTCCATGAAGCTTTTTTTTTTTGTTTTCAAAGAAACAAACTTAGATTGTTTTCAGTAACCATGTGGCCTTTCCACTTAGATTAAGTTATTCCTTGATTTAACCTCTATAGTGGTTATATATTAACTGGCTGAGTCTTAATTAGTAAACATTCCTGTTATGCACTATTGGGTACCTTTTTTTGAAAAAAAGCTCCCTTGTTAGTTGTGTCTGAGGAGGATGAGATGACTGATCTTGATCTTGCAGTAAGACATCAAATTGCTTTTCAAACAAGTAAATGTTTAAAACCTAAAGCAAAGAGTCTCATTACAAACATCAGATTTTCTTCACGCTACATCTAATTTTCTGGCAGCCTGAGCTTAGTGCTGCAGCGTTGATAGAGGACTGCAGCCATATGGTGATATACAAGCTTAGCACCCTCTGTGATTCTCTAGGTTCTTTTCCCAAATTGTCAGGTATCTTGTTTCTCATTCTTGTTTCTGATCCTTTTACATTCAGTGGCATATGGAAAAACACAACAGGCAGCATTCTATCCAGTCCCTTGGCAAGCATTAAACTACTTACTGCCATCCAAATATTTGGATTGCAGCTTTAGAATTCCTGCCTGATGTCCATGTTGGCTGGAGCTGATGGGAGTTGAAGTCTCATGTGGATGGCAGCCATGGACAGGAAAAAACAGCAAGCATATACCTCTCAGAAGGCCTACTTTTACACTAAAGTGTTTGAATAAGAAACACAATTGTCCAGTGACAAAATAGGACTGGGCCTTATATCCTTATTCAGATATTTTCAGTGCAAATATAGTCCTTTTGGGAGGTGCATTCCTCCCCAGCCTCAGCTATTCATGGCTGTTTACCCTAGTGCAGCCTTTCCAAACTGGGTAACCTCTGCATGTGTTAGACTTTGACCACCAAGGTCAAGAGTTCCTGACTTTTAGTCCAAGACATCTGGAGGGCATCTGACTGGAAAAGACTACCCTAGACATTTTTCGGAGTGGTTTAGTCAGACCTATCTTCATGTTTCAAGTGAACTGCTAAGATCATTTTATTCCACTGAGCTTTAAGTCTGGGTTTAAGTTCATCTCCTTGTTGCAATCCTGAATTATTTTATGATGTTCACGGTTTTAATATATGAAATTTATTTTAGGAATTTGAGCTGGTTTGTGTGTTGGGTCTTTTTAAAATGTAATTCAAACCTGTATCCTTTTACAGTGCAATGGAAAGCCATTCTCTTCTGAATCCCAACCTACAGCAGGGTGAAGGAGTTCTCTCCAGCTTCCGAACAACATGGCAAGAGTTTGTAGAGGATCTCGGCTTTTGGCGAGTGCTGCTTTTGCTTGTTGTCATTGCCTTGCTCTCTCTTGGGATTGCATACTATGTTAGTGGAGTGCTTCCTTTCGTAGAAAACCAGCCTGAACTGCTGCATTAAAAGCTGTGTAAATGACTGGTTTCCTTACCATCATTTTAACCTCTCAGTTTGTTTTCTTTGGTGCTCTCAGTGCTCTTGGTACCCACTTAGCATTTATATATATATTCCTTTGTAGGGAAGCCCTTTTGAACAAGGATGTATTAACTGCCACTCAACAGCATTAATTTCTAAGGTATGTCTGAGCTACCTCTCTCTAATGTATCTTGGGTCAGATGTTAATAGTGGTTCCTACTAATAAAATGCAATGATTCTAAAGGCCCAGGATAACATATTCTTGAGAAGGAAGATGGAAACAGATATTGCACCAAGTCATCAACATTCCTTTAAATTCAGATTACTATATGATCAACCCATGCCTGTACTTATGATTGTTTGGTAATTTTCTACCAAAAATGCATATAGTGTGATACTGCAAGAGCACTCAATGTTTCATCTATGTGTTAAGAAGTAACACTTCATTACTTTATCATTTCCTTCATTTTTGCTTGACATGTCAGTTTTTTAATTGCCTACTTTATCCAGACTGGCTGGGCAATATTAATAATTCTTGTGAAATGAATTTGATTTAATGTTTGTGAAAGATAACATTTTTGGACTTAAGCATCATGGGACTTTTTCCATTGAGCAAAACTGTGTTTGTGTTAACACTTAGCAAACACAAACCTTAACAAATATTAGGCTTAGCAATTTGGAAAAAAAAATTCTGCAAACAAATTCTGTGTGAAATCTAGGCATTCATGTGTTTTATAGGAATTAGAGAAGACTAAACATCTCATTCAAATCCCATTGGAAGGCATGGTTCAGACAGAACATAAAGAGTAACGGAATGCTTTCTTAGCTAGTATAGATGTCCTAACATCTTAACATGTGAAATATTTTATATGTAAATTGTGTCTCCAAGATACAGTTTTGGATTATCTTCTGTACCCTACATAACCATTAGGACTGATTAATATACTCTTTAAACTGCTGTTTAACAGTTAGACAGGTAGTTTAAGGCACTGCCAGATGCATGAGGCAATCTGGCAATGGTTGTCTCTTATTCAGAACTCAGTGAACGTGTGAATATATGTGCTTGTGTTAGATTACATTTCCTTGTGACTCTAATTAAATAAAGTAAGCAATTTTTAAACATTGAAATTGAAAAAAATCAGTTCACCGGTTATCTTGTAATAAATACATTTTTAATGTTTTTTTCTGGCCGCTGTCTGAAGAGAGGGGGGTTTGTGGCATTGACCTGGTTTGCATATAACATTGACCTATATTGTATTCAACCTATGGCTAACCTGTAGTTTGTTTCCCTCCCAGAGTTTCTCTGGCAGACAGTTGAATAACCCGTGGTTGGCTTTCTTAGTCCTTGGATTCAGGAGTGTCCTTCTCATGAGGCAAAGTGAAGAGCATCATTCAGGTAGCAGACTAGGGGTAACTTGGCACATCCTCCACTCTGTTTGCTGGTGAATTCTCTCCCTCCACCATTGCCCAAGGAAAGGAAGCTACCAAAGTATTAAGTAGCGGGTGGAGCAAACAGCAGCCTTTCGTGTTTCTTCTCTCCCACCCCTCCGAGAGAAGGCCTGCAAGCTGCACAGTGGTAGCTGTTACAGTGACTGTGCAACAGACAGGGAAGTACATGCCGCAAGTGCAGTGCTGCATGCCATGGTGGTCATCATGGGAAAGCAAGGCGGTGGGGCGACACCACTTTGGCTTGGTCATGCATTTGCCTTGTGGTCCTTGGAGGGTCCTTGCCTGCCAGCCTGCTCTGTATTTTCATCCACTGTCACTTCTTGTGACAGCAAACTCATGCAGAGGGCAAGGGAGGAACTCTTGAGGAGAGGCCACAGCAGAAAGTAGCTTCTGTTGAGGGGGTGGGCAGAGTTGTAGGGTGATGTAGGGGGATAAAAATGAACTACCTTTTCCCATGTCCACTGAGAATTGGGCCAGAGGAGTCTATGCACACATCACAGCTTTTTGTGGAGGAATTTGTAATTATGAATAATTATGGAGGGATGGAAATACTAGGCTGCAGCAGAGGGAGCGATGTGAAGTGATTAGCTTTGCAGTGGGAGTGTTAGCTTCTTAAAAGTGCAGAGCCTGCTGAAACTATGCAAATGTTCTAAATATCACCTGAACAGATGGCCAGTGCTTGAAAGGTATTTTTAAAATGAAATCCACAAGGTCCCTATGTACAGATTCTCCCTCTTTCCCCCATTTTAGCTAAGTCACATGCTCCTGGTATACTGTGCTTTTGAGAAACCATGCTTTGCTTGTCCACCAAGAATATTTGCACTGCATTCCTGTCAATGTCCACTCAGAAGTAAGTTCCATTAACCTTCACAGAACTTATTTCCAGGTAACTATGTATAGGATTATTCTCTTCCTTGACTAAGGATCATACTGTTCAGTTTTGGCTTCTGAACTGAGAAACAATGGATTATACAGTGAAGACATTTAAGATTGGTTTTGCTTACACTGAAGTATATGTACCACACTTTTATTTGGTCACATGTATAGTTGCTGGCCTAGATGAGTTTTGAAAAGGATGTTGTGGTAAAGAAAGCAAAATCACTCCCATTGTATGAGAGATTTTAATCATGTTAAGTATCTTCAGATGTTGCTGTATAAGCATATATCCTTTTTGTTTTTGTCTAGCATGCTTGAAGTGAAGGATTCCATAAGCATGTACAGAGGATCTTTCCTTTGTTCACACATAATTTCAATCATTACTGAAATAATACCAGGATTGCCACCATCAACTTTCAACCTGCTCATATTAGACTTTATTTTTAAGATATATTACCCAGGTTACCAAACAGTGTAGTTGTTTAACATACATAGCTCCAGTTATAAAGCATGGAATGGCTGAGTCAGTGAGGGAAAAACTCATCACTGTATGTTTCACAATAGAAATATTGCACATGATATTTCACATTTTATAGCACATTTCAAAGATAATGCACATTTCGGAGTACTTAATGTACAATATCTTTGTAACTATTAAAAGAACTGTTCTTGGCCATTGCAGACGAAGAGGTGAGAGGGTGCGTGGCTATATGCTTATATGTGTGTAGGTGCTCTGATGGGTGTCAGCTGTGGAGTGTGCTATGTGGCATGTGAAAGAATGAATTGTATGGTGGGGTGGGGTAATAAAGTGTATGTAGGCAAACTTAGAGGGACACCATTTCCTGTTCTACTCGGGCAGCAAAAAGAACCTAAGGCAATGCTACCTTGGTTTGTTTGCTTCCTCCTCTTCCTCTACATCCCAAATACCTTTGCAGAGCTATAGAGCTGGTATATAATTGGCTGCATTTTTAATCCACTCTTGGCTACTGCAGCCTATAAAGAACCTATGAACAATCCATGGTTCATCCATGGTTTTGGGTTCATGTGTAACCCATAGTTAGAATACCACAAAGTTCCCAACCCAACAACAAACCATGAGTTCTCTTTCTGGATTTTTTGTGATTAATAAACTGATTTGTTAGCACAGCTGGTTTTGTGCATTACTGCAACTCCGAATTCAACAGCCCATTGGTTAAATAAATCATATGTTGGTGTTATGTGCAAACTATATACATTTTTATTCCAAATTCATTGTTGCTCTGGGAAAAACCACAGGAAGCAGCAAACACATATATAACATTTCTTGAAGGATTTTGTTTGTCAATTAACTGTGAAGTGTACTCTCCACGTGTACCCATCTTAATATATAGGATCTGAAAATGATGAAGCCAAAGTTTATAACATTTTAAACCTCTTGATTTGAAGTGAAAATTCAGCATATGTTTCATTCCTCTATTGAAAAATTATTGGCTCATGTTTAACATATGGCAAATCAAGAAGACTCCAAATTGGGGTATAAATTAACTTCTCACATAGTGTAGTATACATACTGCTACATTTAAGGAATGGTAAGTTTGCTGTATTAGTTTGGGTACTCTTTTTATTTAAATACAAACATCTGTATTGTCTCACTGGGGGCATTCACTAATATTTTGTGCTGCTACGATAACTGTTAATTGCATTCTAAGCATGACTAGATGTTCCAAATAAATATGTATATGCTAATTGTATGTTTCTCTCTGTTTCTGTACAAGTTTAGAGAAAGGAAATTAGGCAATTAGAGTATAATCCTATACAAGTTCTAACAAAAATGGCCTACACAGACATTCAGCCTAAAATACCTCACAGGGTTGTTGTGAGCATAAAATGAAGGAGGATGATCATGGAAGTGACCCTGTGTTCCTTGCAAAAGGCAGGATATTGAGGTAATGTAATAATATCACACCTAGCTATGCTGACTGGGGCCATTTTCTCTTTTCAAGCTGGTAGAGGATTGCACCTTTAGTGAAAGCGGTACTGTGTCAAGATTAATTGTTTGCGCTGCTTGTGAGAATGGGAGAAATGGGAACAGGAAAAAATTCTTTGAACTGAAACATTTGTAGATTTCTTAATGTTTGTATTAGAATATCGGGGCACAGTTATTTCAGATTTTTCATTAACCTTATGGTTTCACTTTAGCAACTTTTATTCTGGAGGAATCTGTATGTACTAAATGTAGCTGAAATGAGATCATCTGACTGAGCAAAATACTTGTTTTGAATCTAACGGAATCCTAGGGCTTCAGTGAATGCTTTTAATATGCCTGTTTCAATATTTGCAACCCATATAGAAAAGCTTGAAGGAGGGATATGTGTGTTTTGCTTGAAGGTTAATCTTCAAGCATATAGTAAACTGCAAGAAATGCAACTTTAGAAAGAATAGGATGGACATGTATGTTTGTTTGCTCAACTGTAGCCCTGTTATTATAAAATGTATTATGCTTTACACAGAAAAAGAGATTGGCAGTACATTTCACCATCTACTCCTGGCAGACAGAGGTACCTCTCCCTTGAGAACTGTCAGTTTCATTTAAATAACAAGGCAAGTTTCTGTTCTTCATGGCTGCAGACGTAAGTTTGAAATTCAGAAGTAAAATAACACATGTTAAAATCTGAAATGGAAGAAACAGGAGCAGATTT